AAAATACGGGCTAAATACGGTATTGTAGAATTTTTGTACTTAGTGGTTCGAGCATATAACATTTTATATTGACTTCTCGTCCTACCTGATGAGATAAAACGGGATAGTTGTGAATAAAGGGGGTGCACAGGGTCTGACAGTAAGGCCTTTGCCCACTTTGTACAGGAATTTATGTGTCTCTCGACTATTGTATTGGCGAGCTCATGCAATGGCAAACCACAAGCCCTACTCACAGCATTTAATACCCTTCGTTATATGACATAGTCTTTTTTGAGAAGCCCAGGAAAGATTAATGGAGAAGAATAGAGTACAATAGGTAAAATACAGGAGTTTAAGAATTGCAGAACTGAAGGTTGGTTGATACCTGATTGTTTTAATTTTTAATGTAGAAGGTAAGACGAAACATTTTCTTAGAGATTGATAAGATGTGGGATGACCATGAAAGGTTAGAGGAAAGAACTAATCCAAGGTATTTAATGCTTGACTTGGTTTCAGTTTCAGTGCCATCTATGCTACAGGCATCATGGGAACTAACTAGTTCATGTATGTCACGTCGATGCTTGAAAGTAAAGTTAACTGTCTGACGTTTGGAAGGATATAACATAAGACCATTTGACCAAGACCACTTGCTGATGTCCAACAGAAAGCTATTAAGTTTGGAGCAGTCAGACTCGGAAGTGATACGCAGTGATACAGTCAGATCATCAGCATATTTAACAAAATTAGTTTCGTTTAAATGAGACAGGTCGTATAGAAAGAAAGAAAAAAGAAAAGGAGAGAGGACGGCACCTTGAAGAACACCGGCTTTTGTTAGCAAAGCAGAAGAATATTTGCCATTATATGCAGTATACTGCATTCTGTCAAAAAAATAAGAATGCAACCAACTCTTAGCCCAGGATCCTGTTTGCGTCAACGAAAGCTTATTTAATAAAGGGCCCCCTAGGTACAGAGTCAAAAGCAGATGTGTAGTCTAGGAAAGCACCACGAACATATTTGGCACCTCTGTCTAAACAAGAAACAACATTATGATATAAGACAACCGCAGCATCCAAGTTACTTCTACCATGTTTATATGCAAATTGTTTAGGATCATTAAGAGGTTTCAATGAAGGTTCAAGACGAAGTAAAAGTAATTTTTCCGTCAATTTTAAAAAAGGAGAAGTAATTGTAATAGGCCTAAATTTAATATCAGTACCAGAAGATTGTTTTGGTATAGGGATGTTTTGATGTTTTTCCATGCAAAGGCAATGGCGAGTGTATAGATAGAATATATATACCAGTGGGCTTAGAGTGGAAAATAACTATTGTCACATAGCGATTAGATAATATAATAACAATAAACTGTAAAACCAAAAATAAAATGTACAACTACAGGACAGCATGACATTTATAATGCATTAAGGAATAATATTTACTGGTTGTTACCGAGAGAGACAACTATTTTACGCTGGGGGCGAAGGCCAAGCCGGGGGAAAGAGACTGAACATACTTCTTCTGAACACAGAGATTGCAGTGAAATACTTTTATGACAACTGCCTCAACTACGTTTAGCAACCCAGGACATACCGACCTAGAGAGAGTTGAGGTGACACCTTCTGTAGAATTATAAAAGTTGACTTTTGTGAATCCTGTATGTACCAATATGGGACTTCTGATTGACTTTACGACTCATTTGCTTAACTTAGTTTTACAATGCTCCAGAAGGCGATGATGGGCATGCCGAGTTGTCTTGCCTATTTAACTGTCTCCAAAAAGAAAACAGTTGAATATGTGAATGCACACTGAAGTGGTCATACTCGATAGCTTACCCCTCACATGCGTTGGAATTATACAACGAGTGGTGAATCTGATAAACAGTTTTGCGTCAAAGGATGGTTCAGCTAATGTCTTTCAACTTTTCCGTGCCAGTAATTAAGTGGTTGGGTCTCCTTTGAGCCGCAAAGTCATGCATACGTTTCTTCTGCACCGTTTGCAGACATTCCTGTCTGTTTCTTTTCCTCATCGAGACTTTAACAAATTTCTCTTGTAATAGGTTTTCTATTTTTCATATTTCATTGCCTAGAGTGTCGTTGTGCAGATTTTCCGAGCACAAAACATCAAGGTACTGATGTGATTTCGTTTGTATGCAAGCGAAACAAACGATCTGAAATAGGTGTATTGACCAACTTGTGCGTCCTTCTGGAAAATACTCTTCTTAATACAGCCATACTGTCTTCTTGATACCAGGATATCAAAAGATGATAACTTGGTCTCTTTCTCTGTTTCACTTTTGAACTAAATTTGTTGGTGAGCTATATTTGGACGTTTTAAGAAGGACTCCAGCATCGATTATATTATTATGCAAGATAAAAATATCATCCATATGTCTACAGTGGAACGAGAGATCGTTGATTACGTTTTTGAGTGGACGATTCCCTATTTTTGTCATAACATCTCAGCTTAGAGAAGAACCAAAGGAAGCCCACTGCTACGCCATGCACTTGACAGTAAAATTCATTGTTAAACTGAAACTCTACACTTATCCTCCAACGATGTAGCAGTTCCCTCGTAGTTTGAAATGGTTTACCTACGTCCATACCATTTTCTCTAAGAGGCTAACAGATGAAGTCTATTTTTTTTATTCCTTCACGCTCCCAGTGGAACATAGGGCTTCAGTATCTAGCTTGAAGTTTCTGTAGCAGTGTTTATTTTTACACGATGGGGTTGCTAGCCTCATGCCCAACCTTTTCTCTTCACCAGCTTTAATTCTGGCTTAGCGAGGTAAAGGAGTGCGCCGGCCGGGGATCGAACCGCGGACCATGTGCGTGGTCGGCGAGCGTCCTTACCGCTATGCCACCGAGGCACTAAAAGCCGGCAACACCCAGTATTCCCAGCCGGTCACCCATGCAATTACTAACCGGGCCCAACGTTGCTTAACTTCGGTGACCGGACGAGAACCAGTGCTTTCAACGTGGTATGGTCGCCGACGATGGTCTCCAATAAAAGGACATTAGTGAACAGAGACGTAACATCCATAGGAATCACTGTTTCATCGTTTATCTTCTTATCTCTTACTTTTTCTATAAATTCAAAAGTATTCTTTGAGCTGTACTTAGCCACTTTTAGCAGCGGCGGTTTAAGTATGTCTGCCAGCCATCTTGCTACTTCATGATATGGTGAGTTGAACATATCCAACACTGGTCTCATTAGCGTGTTGGTTTTATGAATTTCGTTCTGAAAAGCTATAGATGTTCAAGAATCTAGGGAGACACTATATGACCGGATACCAGAGCTTTCAGTATCTTCAAAAATTCCTTTTTTACTTAAACTGTATCATCTTTTCCATGAAGTGGTTATTCAAATTTTATAGTGTCCTGTAGAATGCTATTCATCCTGTCAATGTAATCAGCTCTATTTGATAATTCTATCCCAGCCTCCTTATCCAGTCTCATTGGGCGGATTCTCTTTAAGGCTTCAACATATATATGAGATTCTCTGAGGATACTTTTCTCCGTACACCTTCTTGATTGATATTGGTAACAATTTTCAGAAAAAGAGGCTTTCAGTTCTTCTAGCTGGACCTGGGATGGTGGAGCTGAGTCACTTATCTGACTAAAAAGGTTTTTAAACTAAGATTCAGCTTCCGATCTTATTCGATGGTTTACGAAAACACAAAACAACTACAGATCTCACAGTTACTATGCGTTTGTGGCACTAAAACTTCATTGAACTACTTCAGATTCAGGGAATATCTCCACCTGAGATTGATGAAATACAAATATATATCAAGAACATGTGATCATTTAAAATTACTCTTCCGGTATAAACTTTAATATATGTGTAAAACGTGGGCACTGTGTTGGTCAGTAATTTCATATTAGTTTGTTTATTAGATGGATATATCACACAGTGAAACAGTATTATTTACTGGATGACACAGTTTCGAACACAATCCATTATTGTTCATAATCATATCGTCGGTTATAATAACACGACTTCAGAGCTTAAGTTTGATAGTTTTCATTGTTCTCACCTATTTATCGTCGTTAGGGTAGTAGAATTTTCCAGTTATAAAAAGAGACAGATGTTGAATCGATTCTGTTACACGTATTTGCAGCTGCTTCGATAAACAAAGCTTCTGTTATCAATCTCTCCCTATATACTGTGACATTAGATTTTAAAACTGTCATCTTATCCCAGCCAAGTCTATGGTTGTGTGCGATGCATGTAGTCCTATAGCTGAACTATTCTCTAGACTTCTTATTTTATTCGGGTCAACTAATCTAGATCTTGCTAGGTTTTTATGCTCGGCTAGTCTGACTGCACCTGTTCTACTACTTTGACCGATGTATTTGACCTGACAATCATTGCAGGTAGGGTAGTAGATAAACTAAATTGTTTTGTTTTAAAGGCTCCACAGGATTGATCCCTTAACCGACAAAGCTTGTTTCTAATTGAGCTTTTGGGTTTGAATGTCAGCCAATTTTATTCCTGCCAGGATCGTTAAAAATTCCCCGTTAGCTTTCCGAGGTTCCTTCTCTGTATGGAAGTACTACTGATGATTTAAATTCCTTATTGTTGGTGTTGTCATTATCCTGTGCATGTCTGACATGCATGTCGTCATTAATATTATTATTACTATCACTATCACTACTATCATTATTTATTTTATTTTTACATTTCCCTACATACTTTCTGTACATAATTTCAGTATGAACGTTTCTCATTATATCAGTCTTACCTCTCCATACACAAATGTAAAAATGTTTCCAGACTGACTAAAACAGGCACATACTGCCGTACTCTGTCTCTCTCTTTTCTTGTCTAACTTAAAACTGTTACATAAAATATCTGAATACATCTGAGAAACATTTCTCATTGGAAAATTAAAAAGAAATTTTCTCCTCATGTCTACTAGTCATGTATGAGTTTTGATGCAATTTTCCCCTGAATTGACCAATCAGATTCAAGGATTTATTGTATATAAAGTCAACAGGTTTAAGTGTACATTATTGTTTATTACAGCTAAACGTATTTATTACATAAACTCTTGATACTTCTGCCTATTACTACTTATACCAATCAAGTCAAACCGGCATTTTCACTTGAAACTGTAAGTTATTTTAAAATTGATTAACATCGTTTTAATTTTGTTAGAATTTTTGTGACTTTTTTAACCACATTTTTTAGTTAGATGTAAGATGTTTGTGTATATATAGTTGCTTGAGTTTTAACTGAAGCGCTCCACCTTCCTTCAAACATGATTACTTTTGTGAAATATAAGCATGGTGACTAGTATGCGGAACGACTCTAACTCCGCAGGTTCACTGAATTACCCGTTAGCCACGTAGTTCCTGTCTGTCTACAATATAGTTTACAGTTTACAATTTATTTAGGATAGTAGGCTATATGCCTGTGTTAATCCTTTCGATTTGTTACACACAGGAGGTTCAATCTTGCCTTGAATGAATCAACGGATGGCGCTGATACGATGTGTTCCGGTAGGGAGTTCCAATGGTTCACAATTCGATGGGAAAAATGGATCTCCAGACGCAGACGATTCGACCGTGGTTTTTGAACTTTGAGGTGATGTCCTCGCAATTGGTTGGTGCTAGAAGGAAGAAATAAGTTAGATAAATTAGCTCTAAAGTCATTTCTTAGGATATGGTATGCTAGTATTAGGTCACCCCTAAGTCGTCTGTATGACAGTGGAAATAAACCCAGTCGACTTAACTTCTCTTCATATGAGAGGGTTGAGAAACCTTTTATTAGCTTAGTTCCTACTCTTTGCACCCTTTCTAATAAGTCTATTTCGTATTTGAAACACGGGCTCGCTGCCTGGATCCCATATTCCAAATGAGGTCTGATATAAGTCGGATATAATATACGAAATATTTCAGCGTCAAAATTCGCAAAAGCTTTGCGTATGGCCCATAATATTCGAAAACCCTTAGTGGCTGCAGCTCTACAGTTTGTTGTTGTTTTCAAGTCATGCTGCACAACCACTCCCAAGTCCTTGTACTCAGTGACCACTGGGAGAGTAATGCCATTCATTGAGTAATTGTGCACATATGCACGATGAAACTATGAGTGTTTTTAGGCTTAAACGCACCAGTTTCAGAAACACAATATTCCTTCAGAATCCATCTGAAGTAGATAGAGGGGGGCATAGTTATTTGTTTCTAAATCCGACGAAGTTGTTTAACAATCCTAACTCAGTTTAATGAGGAAAATGCCAGCGTGATTCTTATCATCAAATGAAAAGTTTCATAAGTTGGGGGAGGGATTCTGCCTCCATAATATAGACCTAATTTATTTGATACAATCTAATTTTCCGCCGACATTTGAAGCATACAATTTATTCTATTCATAATCATATCAGTTAAAGGTGGACAACGTCGAAACTTGAGTTTTATAGTTCTCCGTATTCCTTCCATTAGTCGTTGGGGTAGCAGAAGTTTTCAGATGACTGGGACAAATACTAAACCATTCCGGCTGCGTGTAATCGCTTAGCTTATTCGATAAATAAGGTCCCAGTCTTAAAAATAATAATTTGCTTTATTCCAAAACAGTACTTGTGATACAGGATGGAATTCTCAGCACTTTTACTACAGTACTGCATCCAGTTAGTACATTATCAATAAATAGAATTCTACATATATTAAGGAAGTCCTAGTTCATTATGTCAACAACATATTGGCATGTCGGTAGCAAAGGTAAAGCTGAACAGTGTTTGAAGGTGTTAGAAAAGTAGGTGCTATCATATTTACTGGCGTAAGCGGAAGAAAGAAACAAAGCAGCACATAACGGAAAAAAGAGAGAGAGAAAAGGAAAATAAAGAAATAAATGTTGTGCCTATAAATGATATGAGTTGGAAGGACGAAACTATCATCTTGTCTTATCCTATGGTGGGGTTGTATGTAGTTGCATATAGCGGTATGGCTGAATTATTCTCCAGATTTTCTGTTATCCTGGTCAACTAATCTAAATTTTGCTGCTAGGTGTTTATGCTCGGCTAGTCTGACTGCACCTGTTCTACTACTTTGACCGATGTATTTGACCTGACAATCATTGCAAGCAGGGTATTAGATAAACTAAATTGTTTTGTTTTAAAGGCTCCACAGGATTGATCCTTTGACTGACAAAGCTTGTTTCTAATTGAGTTTGTGGGTTTAAAATGTCATCCACTTTTATTCCTGCCTTGTTAAGAATTCTGCGTAAGGATTCCTAGATCGCTTCTTTGTATGGAAGTACTAATGATGACTTAAATTCCTTATTATTGGTGTTGTCATTATCCTGTGCATATTTGACATGCATGTCGTCATGAATGCTATTATTATTATTTTCAATATCACTACTATCATTATTTATTTTATTTTGACATTTTCCTGACTGCTTCCTGATTATTTCATCAGGGTAATTATCAGGCCTCATAGCTCCTCTTGTATGCATTACTTCCTGCATTGAATTGTTCCCTGGTACTACTTAGTTTCTTTTGCCCAGTTACATAAGCACTTAACCTATTCTATCTTAAGTAACATAGAATAGAATGAACCTTAATCCGAATATCAATTTGAATGTGTGACTTGTTCTATAAACTCTAGTGTTTCTGACTTCCTATATTCATTTCATTTTCATGCTATAATGCAACACTAGAAGCTGTCCTTCATGACTTTCCAACTCATAAGTTAATCCGATTACCGCTAACTATGAGATTTGTACTTTCATTACTATATGAATGTGTAATCCACATATATCCACCATACTTCTCCATTACAGTTGAACAAAATATTATGTATGCTGCATGAAAGTCGATGAGAATTTTTAAAAAAAAACAAATATTTTGCGCTATACATCGACGTTCTTATGAGTATTTGTCAGAATATAAATGATGAAAGACAAACGACATATTGCTGCTCCCGCTACTCAGATATATTAGAATAAATGGGTCATCTAAACGCAAGTTCACTCGTAATTCAATGTCTTTTGGATAACTTAGCCATGTACCGTTTACGTTTGCTAACAATGGCGGGTATTTTTAAAGTTATTGTTTACTTCTCTCTTAAATAAACCTTTGGAATGGACCATTGTAGCTGAGCATATGCGTAATAATAAGGATAAAGTCTTATATCAGACAATATGGGGACATATTCTAAAACAATTTTCCAGCTCATTTAGTTCCAAAACACTTTTTTCTTCATACACAATTCACATGTAAAGAAATAATCTGAAGAATGTCTTCATTTCGTTGAAGAATTGCGCACCATTTTGCTTGGAGGCAAGTTAAATCTACGCTCAAGTTCATGTATAGGTCATTTGATATAACTGAATAATTGTAACATTAGTAAATCCATATGAAATTAAGCATTTTAGTGGAAAGCAACTCCGGTAACGCAGTGATTCAAGCAGGCCGCCTGTAGTCACAGGAACAAGACAAGTTTCTACGAAGACGTGTGTAGGAATAAAACTCTACCACATGGTAGTTAGTTACTTCGAAGTTTATTCGCTCACTCAATACATCACTCAAACAGGCAGCACCATTGTATCACCGTTTTCGACAAAATTTATCCTTCATAAGTAATCAAATTGTTTGAGTCCTACTCGGCAATTTGGTGTCATAAGTGAATCCTTCAAGCGGTAACTGAATAAGCTACAAATACCTGACGATCTGTGTGTACATCTCAAGGCACTTGACACCTAAAACTGCGAAATATGTTTACAGTAAACCATAACATTTTGAAATTTTGAAAAAGAAACATTTATTTCCCGATGTAAATTTTGAAACAAGCAATCAATAAATTTGTCCGATATCAGTGGAACTCCTCAACTGAATACTCTAAAGATACTGTTATATCTTCAGAGAGATAGACGTATCGGAATATATATATATATATGGCTAGTTGGCAAAGGCATAATACAATAATTCGTCTTACAAATCAGGTAGTTACAGACAAATTATGGGTTATCGTGGATTTTTATCATTGTTATTACTATTATCAGTTTGTTCCTTTCCATCCCCAAGTGAACATCAGGATTTAAGCTTCAGGTTTGAAGTTTCAGTAGAATTTATTTTATTTTTTTTTCACGGGATGAAGTTGCCAGCCTCACACTCAACCTTACATCTTTCCTGGAAGGACTTATTCCTAGCTAAGTGAGGTTTGCAGGTCAGTCTGGCTGAAATCAAACTCCACACCACTTTCACCTCTTCTAACACTTAACCCTCGACTCACTGCATTACTGTGAAAATTGTCTAATGTCTCTTTTAACAGATAGGGGTGAATCTGTAAGACATTCATGACGATGAGTCATACACTGATTCTCCTCAATGTCAACATTAAAATATTAATATTACTATGCTTAGTCAATCTCCATAGCCAACTGACTGAACAACCAATCGACGTTCACCAGTTGTGATAGGAACAAGATGAGTTTCAACGATGATTTGTGTAGGAATATTAAGGCTGTACTCTAAAAATATACAATACAGAAGTTTCATCAAGCTTGTTACCGCAAGCCATTTGATCCTTGTACAGAATCTTCAAGTGGCATAATCAATGATGATAATAATATCACGGAAAGTGAGATGGTTTATCCAATAATCCACAGTGTTTCTCCCCCTCTTTCCGTTATAAATATTCGTAATGAAAGATTGAAGGCTATTTAAAGTAATGACAGAGTGTACATTGTGCGATTCTCAGAGATAATTTTACAAAAATACTACAATATGAAATGGAGTAAACCTCATGAATTTAGGTGGAGAGAAAATTCAGGTAGCTGGCACAGTGAATTAACCAGGCTGTAAATAGTAAATAGTGGTATTTGATGAAGGTGATTCTAGATATCTCTCAATTACTTTTATGTTGTTAGAACTTAAGGCTCTTGTTAAGAGGTTAATTACCCGCTTGGTTTTATCGATGATTGACGGCACTCCTCCCATGAATTTGTTGAACTTCTTAATTTGAGTATATTTGGATATTTTGAATGCAGCTGAGCTTGACGTTTTTCTCTGTTTCAAGTAACACTTCATAATCCTGGTTATGTACGCTACTTTTCAGTTGTTCAATCTCAAGTCTGATGACAGTTAGCATATTGATATGGTGCTGTGCATCTTTTCTCTTAAACAGAGTCTGCTGAGGTGTACTCCTGCTGCTTTCACCTTCCTTGTTTTAACCGAAACGCATCCATGAAGATACTTAGGCATAATTCCGTTTTTCAGGCATCGGATGTTAAAAATACGGTGATTTGCGAAACTTGATTCTGTCTGTGAGAATCATGTGGGCTTATTGACCAGTCTTCAAACAGGAAGACCACAAGCATTGTTATTACACTGAATTATCTCTAAATTATTTTCAAGAATGACTTCTTATGGCATCCTAATTTATACTTGTGTGCAATTCCATGTAACAAACACTAAAGCTGAACTATTCTTTAGATTTCTTATCCTTTTGCAAAGCTTTTGCGCGCAGCTAATGCAATCGACTCTATTCTACTATTTTGAACTATGTATCTCATCTTACATTTGTTCCGCGATATTAGGTAAACTAAATTATTTTGTCTAACGGCCACCATAGGATCCTTCAACTTCCAAAGTTTCTTTCTAGATGATTTTGTGTACTTTAGTGGTGCACTGAAAGGAATTCCACGTAAATTTTCCGTAAATTTTCTTCTTTGTATGGAACTAGTACTGATGATTTGAATTCCCTGTTGTTGTTGGTGTCATTCTTCTTTTCATGTTTGGCATTTATTTTTTCATTTGGTGTCATTATTATTATTATTCCTACAAACTTCCTGATTAAGTTGTCAGGGGAATTATAGAGCTTTATAGTTTCTCGTATGTGCGACATAACGTCCTCCTGAATATCTCGAAATCATTTTCGAGGAGATATTTCGGTTTTAGAGGAGTCTTGTTGTTTTGGAAACAATTCTAAATCTCCCAACCAGTGGTTACAAATTATAGTCTCCACATGAATAACACCGAAGCTCAGGTAGTAGAACCTTCTCAAATCATCCTGTGTTTACCCACTCTTACCTCGTTTAATTCTCCTTTGGAAAAAAAGGGGACCAGTCCAATATTCTCCATTGTCTAGTGTCAACATTAGATAGATGTTTAAAGAAGGTGAATTTTCGCCGAGCATATTCCATGTTCCACTGTTACTGACTTGACCAACGCTCAGTTTTCTAGTCATTTATGTTACGTCATCCAGTTTATCTGCTCACTTTTAGTACTGATTTAAATGAAATTATTCTCTACCCCACCTCTACTTAATCTCTACCTGTAATTACCTCTGTTGTTATCCTCACCTAAGTTGAAACATTTTAGTCAATTATATTACGTCATCTAATTTACCAACTCAATCTCACTTTAGCTGCTGTCTAACTAACCTTGCTTCTATATTAGATCATTCTTCTATGACCTAATTAATTACCTAAACTTGACAAACTTCATTTACACGCACAAAGAAATAATTGTATATAAATGCAATTGTACAGTTATGTGAATGAATTCGCCGGCTAAAAGAGTCTCTTCGCTGAACGTCTTCTCTCTTTTTCATATGATTCAATGGAGATTTTCAAGCTGGTTTTGAAATTTTCGATGGCCTTATCAGCATCACTGAAATTGTTAACGCAATAAGTGCCTCATTATTAATTAGTTCTACAGGAAATGGTTTAATGGTATTGCTCCTAACTAGAGTAAATCATTGTGAGTTTGTAGAGTGAATTGATGGCAAATAGATGGTCGATAATTATGTCATGTCATGTGATGTAACGGATAATTATTTTCATTAGCTGATACCTGGAATAGTTTTTACCTAGACTAAATGTAAATACTTTACAGCTATAAGTGAACAGTACCAAGAGGAGGAGTGATAAAATCCCGGTAACGGGGTAAGATCTCGTTCAACGTCTTTCATTTAATACCACACCAATCACTTGACAGTTTCGTCTTCACATTTTATAAATATTTCACAGTTTCCATGTCCCACAAAAGCCGCCGGATTGAACTTCATTCACATATTTGTAACACTCTGTAAACCTATGCACGTTCGCATTGAGCCGAATAATGGGTCATTTCTTATCGCACCTGCAATGATTTTCGGTACCGTTGGGCAAAACTAGAACTACACGACGAAATTCAACTGACAGCATGACAATCGCACCTCATCTTTTTATTCACCAGTCATTTCGCTTTTACGGTTTCATTGAAGTTGTTTCAGCATACGTCTAGATAGATGTTATCTATACAAATATGAAGGAATCGTGTCATAGATGTCACTGGATGTTGCTTCACACATGGAATAACAGTATCATTTTGAACATGTAAATAGGAAACATCCCCTTGTCTTTATGTCGTATAGCAAGTCGATTTATTTATTCAAAATTTGGGAACTATAATAATTAGTGTATTGTTAGTAAGAAGTTATATAGGTGAATAGTGATTTATTTTCTTATGTTTTCCTTCGTATTTCATTGTGTGTGTGTGAGATGAGCTTCGTTAAGAGGTGAAAGAGTCATTGAACATTAAGAATAAATGAGTGGATATTTCACTTTGGATCAACCTGACTAGTGATTGATTAATTCAGTAACGTCAGTTTCCAAGACGGACATATCACGGCTGCCTGAAGAATACTTCCTTGTGCAGTGGTATAACATGACATAGGGCTTCAAACTAGAAGCTTGAAGTTTCAATAGCAGTGATGTCTACTTTTATGGGATGGGGTTGCTAGCCTCATACCCTACCTTCCCTCTCTACCAGTCCTATTACTGGCTAAGCGAGTTAAAGGAATGCATCTGTGGCCGGGCATCGAACCGTGGACCACATGTGTGGTCGGTGAGCATTCTACTGATGTGCCACCGACGCACTAAATTACTTATAATCATTCGCAAATTTATCTTAAGATCAAATTTTCACTGACCAGTAGAACTGTACTGTTCACTTGAGATGCATGTAAATGCATTTCACTGGGTGCTGCTGATTGATGACGAGCGGTGCTTACTGGTCAGCCAAGCCTAAGTGACCCAGTCAACAGACTGCCGTTTCGCTTGTTATGCGCCGAACTCGTCAGTTTCGATTTAGCCTAGAGCGGTAAATCACTTCAAAGCACTGGAATTCCGTCTAGCTACAATGTGGGCTACTAACCGGCAATCCACTGATTACACAATGTGTTTCGAAATTTTTGATTTTGGTTCCCGAAGGGAACTCTGGTCAAATTTCACCTTGCCCACTACCTTTGATTAATTTATTAGCAAATAAAGCCCCCAACTGTCAGCTGGAAAAGTGCCAGACCAGTGGTTCTGGAGCTATGGGTTTATATCCAAATCAAAGTATGTATCCATTCATTTGTGGCCTGAGTCGTAATCATCAGGTTCGTTAAATAAAACATTCAAGGAAGACTTTGGAAGACATATAGCCTGAGGCGACTAAACTGTATAACTTATCAAAATACTCACAATAACTCATTACCTGATGATAGGAGAAAATTTCTGTATCAATTTTTGAGTCTATATGCACAGGAGAATGTTTAGAATGGAATCGAACAAAGTCAAATTGATTGAATCACCAAAAGCAATTCGATCAAGATTATTTCGTTGTATTTATTTAGTTTTACAATCGTTTCTAGTCCTGTTGAACCTCATGATGTACTCACTAGCTTTACACTTGTCATTTCTTTTTTTTTCTAGGCAAGCACGAACAGCAGCGATGTCACGATCAATCTCAATCCTGTCAGCACTATGCATTGTACTTCTTTGCGTAATGGTCAACTGTGCACATCTTCCATATGAATATATGAATGACCGAAGCGTGTATCCTATGTCAGAATTTGACGGTGACGCTTACTATTTTCCGGCTTATCGTGATATTGCAGCACAGAAGTATTTTAAACGAAGATCTTATATGACACCAAGACTTGGCAAATAATTGCTGGTGGATATTAGCTTCGCGTTTCAATGATCTTATAACCAAAAAAATAAAGGGTGAAATATTTCCATTTTATTTAACTGAACAGTAGTCATCTTTATAAAATCTGACGTTTGAGAGTTTATGTAATAAAAAAAAACAAAAATGTAACAATAAATCGATAAATATTGTCTTCAAGTATTCCTCTCTGGGGATTTGTTTAGTTTTGAAATGTGATCACAGATTGAAGTCCTAGTTAAAGAACCACTAAAATACTAGAGAGTACTGCACAGCTCCTCCAGTCTAGTTTGAGACCATTTAGTAGCATTCAGCGTTTGCGACATAGTGGTTAGGACACTCGCCGACCATGCACATGGTCCGGGGTTTGATCCGCGACCGACGCACTCCTTTACCTCGCTAAGCCAGATATAATGCTGTTGAAGAGGAAAGGTTAGGCATGGGGCTAGCAACCCGATCCTGTAAAATAAACACTGCTACAGAAACTTTAGGCCACTAGCTTGAAGCCCTATGTTCCACTGGGGAACGTGAAGGTTAAAAAAAGTACCGTTCATCAATGACTCTACTTAGGGTCTTTCATTTTACAAGGACAGCCTTTCAATTATTCAGACACTGGGAGAAAGAGAGAAAGTCCGAAGGATTCTTAAACTATGATGAAATTATTATTATTTATTATTCCTTTACGTTCCCTGTGGAACATAGGACTTCAGGCTAGAGGCTTGAAGTTTAGGTAGCAGTTGTGATTATTTTTACAGGATGGGGTCGCTAGCCTCATGCCCAACCTTCCTTCTTTACCAGTCTTATTAGTGACTTAGCGAAGTAGAGGAGTACGTTGACCGGAGATCGAACGCCGGATTCCGTGTCGCGTGGTTGGCAAGCATTGTACAGCTGTGCCACAGACGCACAAACGCTTTCCAGTACTTTATGGCTTTAACTGGTTCACAGAAGCGCTTTAATTGTAAGAATGATAGTTAGAGTGGGTTATCCATTCGGATAATGTTTTAGTTAGCGTTGAATAATTCATTCTATCACGAGTACTCACTTCATCAATTCAGGCTGTTTACAATCATTCCAAAAGTTATTTTCAAGCGAATACACGAATCTCTAGTTTATATCTAGTGCCTTGAGGGACTGTAAAGGAAAATCTGGCAAATGCCTGCTGTATATAGATGATATATTTGGAGTATGCAGAGATAAATTTGAAGCCGAAACAATGTCAGAAGAATTTAATTCATGCTGTGTGCTAGTATAAAATGTACGTCGGAACAATTAGGGCCATGATGCTATACATTTCTTGGATATAAATCTGTTTAAGGGAGCTGGTGGAAGTGTTCAAATGTCCATTTTGTAAGAAGCCATCTTGGAAGGGACAATATCTACACTTCAGCAACTTTATTCCACCCAGCGCAGTACATTATTCAGCAGAGCATGTAGGATATGTTGTTCAAGTAGCAGACTCGACTTGACTACGAGGAGAAATTCTTTAGGGAGACAGTGGTGAGAAAATGACATATTCAGTAAGGTTTGTAAATAAGTGTTCAAAAGTAAAAGTAATGTCAAAGACTTTTGCAAGTACTTGTGTTCTCTGAGCTCATTGGTTTAGTGGCAGAGATTTCGTCGTACTTCTGGACAACAACTCCCTTAATCGCAAGTTTTAGCACAAAATGAACTGATTTAAATTCTCCATGAGTGATAGAATTGTGTCTCATGGTAACCATCTTTACATCTGTATTGGTCATTTGTATTGACTTGGATTTTGAACTTTCTCGTCACATGATTTACTTCTGAATAGTTGGTAAATTTGGTCTATATTAACATATTTGTTAATCACATATTGGTCTGAGTACCAACCAGGCTTCTAGAAATTCTCTGGCACTTTTGGTGTTTCCTCTATTCAATATTTCGACATTATCCCAATCACGTTGGTGTCCATAATTATCTACATGCATTGAAATAAAAGAATATATATGTATCATTTCTTTTTACAGCCAATTTGTGTTTCTGGATTCTGATTCCAACGGGACACCCACTTTGGGAAATGTAATGTCTTCTACAGTCCATACAATTTATTTTGTAAATGATATTAATTTTATCCTCTTTTTCTGTTGGATCTTTCGGTTTGCACAATATCGAATGCTGTGATTGGACTGGCTTGTGGGCTATATCTATTTCAAACGGTTTCAATATTCTAGCTGTTATTTGAGAGATAAGTTTTATATATGATAGGATGATGGTTTCTAGCTGGTGTTGTGACTCAAGTTTAAACACTTTTTGATGAAATTGTGAGGATATCCATTCCTTTTGAAAAAACGGTTAATAGGTATTTTTCCTCCATTCTCTTCAACTCTGGAGTGCTATAGTGTATTTGAATTCTTTTAAACACAGTTTTTTGTTGGTAATTGGGTTATTGTTACCAAAGTTGAGTATTTCATCTGTGTGCGTCGATTTTCTATATACTTGTGTTTCTAAATTCCATATGTTAATTCTTCTGATTAAGACATCTAAAAATGGGATTTCGTTATCTAGTTCTTCTTCCCTTGTGAATTTGATGTCTTCAGATATGTTGTTTATTAATTTTTCGGTATATTACAAATCATTTCTTTCAATTATTACAAATGCATCATCAGCGTAAGGTACCCAGACTTTTGGTTTAATTATAGGTATGGAGGGTTTTTAATTCTAATCTTTGTATGACGGCTTCAGTCATTAATCCTGATATGGGTGATCTCATTGATGTTCCTTTTATCTGTTAGTATATTTGAGTATTGAATTTGAAGTATGGTGCAAGACACAACTTTATGAGTTCTATCCAAGTTGAACATTGCGTTTTTATGTTTTCATCACCATAGGGTAACTGTTGCATAGTTTCTGTTGCTAGTTTCGTACTAATTAAAGTATATAATGCTGCGACACCAAAGAACACCATCATTTCATTGTCATCCACTTGAATGCTTTTGATTTTCTCTAAAAATTGGATTGGCAATTTAAAACCAACCAGCTCAGAGAACACAACTAATTGCAAATCATCTACCTGAGCTACAAATCCTGTGCATTATTTCAAAATTTCAGAGACTGTTCCTAAAAGGAAGGTTTACATAAAGTCACCTTAGAAGGGAGAGAATGTCATTCAACTGGTGAAGCGTCGTTTGGAGAATCTATTATGCAGCTGACATTTTGCTTATAAACACAATAACGAAGGAGATAGTGCAAGCAAAGGGTAGAGATTAGGAGATATTGACCACAGCCACATCAAAATAAGTACACCATCTTATATATGTTTATGGAAGAAAATAAACTGAGCGTACGGAAAGATGTCTTTCGGTTCATGTTACCTAACCCTTCCCCTAAATATCGCTTTCTAGTACTCATGATGGCATCCAAAGCAGCTCAGTCTCACACGATATTTATTGAAATGTGTGATCATACGGTGACATTGACCAAAACAGCTTTGCAGTAGTTATCAGTGAACGTGAGGTAATAAAGGGACTCTTGGTTTTCTCGAAGCCTGTTCTATCAGATTAAAGAAGCCGGATCTATATAGACACAAAAAGGAGATAGTGGTTAACTTGAATCTACCTTGGTAGCATGCTTTTATTTTACCTTTACAATTCCCCTCCTTTTCCTCTTAAATGTATAATGTTTCCTCCATTGTTATCATTATCAGTTTTATCAGGATATGTACAAATCGAAAAATCACATCATCATATCTCCACTTCATAGTGCTTTCTGCCGTCCTCTTCAACTGCGCCCAAGATTGACCAAACTCTCTCATCTCTTCATCACACGATCTCCACTCGAGGCGTTGCCTGGCGTGCAATGTCATTCAGCGGCCTCATCAATATATGCCCGATCCATCTCCACTTACTTCTACACATTTGTTGAGGTATAGGCTACTGCCTGTTGGTTCGTTCCCATACTTTCTTGTTGTTTATTCTTTCTAGTCAGCCATTTGATCTTGCAGCCAGCCAGCGTAGTGAGCAGCCGTTGGTGAAAGTCTGCAACCTGTTGGAAATCCTTTTCAAGACGCGCAGAGCAAGTTTCTAACCTGTATAGGAGAACGGACTTCACATCTGTGTTGGAAATGCGAATCTTCTTCCTCGTGCTGGTTTCAGGTTCATGAAGGCCTATTTATCTTGCCTTTCCGATTCAGGCTGATTTGGATATCTTCGTCCGTTCCATGTGCCTGTAGTTGAAACGATGATTCCTGGTCAGATAAGTGAAGGAGGCAACCTCTGTTAAATCTCTCCCGTTGATGGTGATTCGTGCTGGTTGTTGTTACTGTTAGTGGTGGGTGGTTATCTTCATCACCTCCGTCTTCTCTGTGTTCACCTGCAGTCCTGTTTCCGCTGCCAGCCTTTCTAGCCATTTTGTTGGTTTTCGTTTGCACAAAATATCATAGTTGATTAATACTCTTGGTTAGCGGTGTTTAAACTATCTTATGCTTTACACATGTTAAATTTATTTTTTTAACAAAGATGCGTTTTTGTCACAATTTCCACTTTCTGTTGGTTTACATATGTATAACATTGTTTATAGAGGAGTATTCAGAAGACGAGGCCTTCTGCCGAAACCGGTGAATTCATTTAATACTACTAGTTTTTCGTAGTTGTTCCATGTTTTATACACTAGTTTGTTTATTAATCCCAATGGGAAGTTCTTACTCACTATTCCCATTAACTGAGAACAAAACTTTAGAAGTAATCGAGTATTTCAGGGATCACAAAGCGTGGAACTTACAAAAGTGGTCAATGTCCAGGGCATCTTAGTAGTTCACTGGTTGGGTACTTGTCAACTACACGTATAATTTGAGGATTGATCCCAGGCTGACACACACTCCTGAACCTGGCTTGGCTGGTAGTCAGCCCGAAAAAGAAGGAAGGCGCACCCGTGAGGTAAGAAACTTCATTCCGGTAAAAATAAACATCACTGTTACTGAAACTTCACAGATCAAGCTTAGAAGTTTACGAACTCAAAGCAATGAATATTTACAGGATAATGTGAGCTCATTTAATTTCGTGCTTTTTATTCAACTTAGTACACCCCAAACTAAATCACATTATAAGTTTCCTATAGTTTGGTTTGTAAGGATTAGTTTTGTTTCACGAGTTGATCACGGACTGATATCAGTTAGAGAACCATTGAAAACCAGGGAGTACTGGACAGCTGCTGTTTCATCCTAGTTTGGGAATCATCAGC